AAACCATTTCAGGTGACTACCTCTTGAAGCTCATGGAGAGAATGCCAAGAGTGTGCAAAGCAGTAATCAGAGCAAAGGGTGGCTATTTTGAAGAAACTAGAATATAAAACATGTTTTCAGTTATTTCACCTTTTTTTGTTAAGTACATAACTCCACATGTGTTCATTCATTGTTTTGATGCCTTCAGTGAGAATCTACAATGTAAATAGTCATGAAAATAAAGAAAACGCATTGAATGAGAAGGTGGGTCCAAACTTTTGGCCTGTACTGTAGATGAATATATTATATAAACTCTACAGTGACAAACTTATAAACAAACATTATATATAATCTATATAATATGGTAAGGTGTTTGAATGTATACATGTTAGGTGTGACATCAGGTGTTTACATGTCGTCAGGTGTGTAAAAGTGTCAGTGATGTAGTTCATACCACATTGGGATGTTTCCCGAGGGCAACACTGGCGGGATCGCCAGAGGTTGGTTGTAGTCGCCTTCTCCTCACGGTGCGCAGCAGCACCAACAGAAGAGCCGAGAGAAACAGGAGCACCATCATCACTGCAATGCCTCCAGCCAGTCTGCTGTCCACGTCTCCGAACAACTGCTGCTCCGTGAACGCACCACGAGGGACTATGGAGGAGAGAGGAGATAATGTCATTGAACGTACCACAAGGGACTGCACAGAGGAGAGAGGAGATAATGTCAGTGAATGCACCACAAGGGACTGCACAGAGGAGAGAGGAGATAATGTCAATGAATGCACCACAAGGGACTGCACAGAGGACAGAGGACAGTTAATGTTAGTGCACACACTGCGCCACAAGGGACTGTAGAGGAGAGAGGAGAGAAGACAGTTAATGTCAGTGAATGAACCACCAAGAGTGAGATAATGTCAGTGAACGCACCACGAGGGACTGCACAGAGGAGAGAGGAGATAATGTCAGTGAACGTACCACAAGGGACTGCACAGAGGAGAGAGGAGATAATGTCAGTGAATGCACCACGAGGGACTGTAGAGGAGAGAGGAGAGTTAATGTCAGTGAATGCACCACCAGGAGTGAGATAATATCAGCGAACGCACCACGAGGGACTGTAGAGGAGAGAGGAGAGTTAATGTCAGTGAATGAACCACCAGGAGGAAGATGATGTCAGTGAATGCACCACCAGGAGAGATAATGTCAGCGAACACACCACGAGGGACTGTAGAGGAGAGAGGAGAGTTAATGTCAGTGAATGAACCACCCGGAGGAAGATGATGTCAGTGAATGCACCACCAGGAGAGATAATGTCAGCGAACACACCACGAGGGACTGTAGAGGAGAGAGGAGAGATAAGGTCAGTGAATGCACCACCAGGAGGAAGATAATGTCAGTGAATGCACCACCAGGAGAGAGATAATGTCAGCGAACGCATCAAGAGGGACTGGACAGAGGAGAGAGGAGAGAGGAGAGATAATGTCAACGAACGCACCACGGGGGACTGGACAGAGGAGAGAGGAGAGATAATGTCAGTAATTGCACCACCAGGAGAGAGAGATAATGTTAGCGAACGCACCACGAGGGACTGCAGAGGAGAGGAGAGAGCAGAGTTAAGGCCTCTGCACACTGAGTGTGGTTTAGGCACAGCTTTGGTTACAGGTACCTGTTCAGGTTCAGTTGGTCGGACTGAGTCTCAGGTGGATCTAAGTGAATGTTTACAAACTGTCAGTTAACAACTGTTATTTCATTGAAGAAACATTTTCATGTCTGTTCAGTTGAACTGATCAGTTTGTGATCCATCAGAGATCAATGGAGAAAAAAAACTCAGACGCCAAACCTTAAACAGTTAAACATAAAAAGAAAAAAAAGAAGCGCATTGACAGGTGTGTTGACAGGTGTGAGGTGACCCTCAGGTGGTCCTGCTGTTGTTCTCACCTGTCTGTCCTCTCTGCAGAACTTCAATGTCAACTGAAGCTGAAGCTTCTTCTCCTGATTCTTCGTCTCTGGCGACGACCTGCAGTCGACACGTACAGTTACTGTATCTGTAATGTTTACACGTGTACACCTGTACAGGTGTGTATATATACATGTATAATAGTGATCTGTTGATTCTGCATCTCTGGTGCCGACCTACAGGATGATCAGAGTCTGAATATAAAATTTAAACCGTCAGGTGACAATCCTCCAGTTCAGATCTGATGAAGCTTCAGTCTCACCTGTGTCGTCACCTGTGTGACACCGCGTCCTGTCAGTATACTCTGTTACCTGCAGTATGTGTCTGTCAAAGGCGTGCAGGCGGTCCGTCCTGGCAATCAGGACCCCGCCCTGGGTGACTTGGTACAGTCCGGACGGGGGGTGGAGGGAGTAGTGGATGTTTGGATTCAGGCCCTGTGATTGGACAGCAGTGATGACTCACCAGGTGTCAGACAGGTAATGATACAGGTGTAGCAACAGGAGGTCTTACGTCAGGGAAGTCACGATCCAACACCTGGATCTGTAACACCTGGTTCCCGTAGGTGGAGACGATGGAGGCGGGGCTAGAGCTCTGGATGATGAAACCTTTGAAGGTGGTTCTGTTGAAGACCGGCGGGAACGCATTCTCACTGAGAACCCGGATCAGAACTGACGCCACGCTGTACTTCAGCCGGTCATCCTCCTGATACACCTGCAAGGACAGGGGGGCAGGGCCTTTGGTTCTGTCATCACTGTTATAAATATAACAGTAAACAGGAAGTGGTGCTGTTACCATGATGCTGAGTGTGAAGTTCGTCTCCAGTCGTCGGTCGTTCACCGCTCTAGTTAACCTGAGCTCACCTGTCCTGTTGTTGATCACAAACCTGCCCCGGTCGTCACCTGCTGACACACACAAACACACCTGAGCACACCTGTATACACACACACACACACACACACACCTGAATACACTCATACACCTGCTGACACACACAAACACACCTGAGCACACCTGTACACACACCTGGATACATCTAAACACACCTGAATACACTCATACACCTGCTGAAACACACAAACACACACCTGGATATATACCTGTAAACACCTGAACACACACAAACACACACCTGAGCACACCTGCTGACACACTTGGATACACACCTGAACACACTCCTGAACACACCTGTATACACACATCGTCATCATCATCATCATCATCATCATCCTCACTGACCTGACAGGATGTTGTAGATCAGAGAGGTGTTGATTCCTCGGTCTCCATCCTCTGCTCTGATAGGTCCAGGAGAAAACTCCACCACACCGTCCTGAAACAGGAAACAACAATAATAAAGGTGTAGACAAATAAACATGTCTGCTACAGTAAACGTCTTTGGTTTGTTTGTTTGTTTACGTGGTGTTTGATTGTTTACCTGGTGTTTGTTTTACCTGGTGTTTGTGTGTGATGTTGGCGGTGTAGGTGGGGTTCATGCAGACAGGAACACCTGGAGACACAGGTGTGCAGGGCAGGAAGTGAGGGTACTGGTCGTCTCCGTCCTCGATGTTGACGATGAGGACAGTGGACGTATTGAACTTCTCTGCAGTGTTCGCTTCCTGTTTGTCAGGACAAACTTGTTTATTTATTTGTTTATTGGTGTTTACTGAAGCATTGATGGTGTGATGGCGGTTGATGACATCACAGAGTTACCTGAGCCCAGATGGTCACCTGCAGCTGAGTCCTGCTCTCGTAATCCAGAGGTTTGTTCAGAACCACGTCCCCACTGTTTGGAAGATCCACCCTGAAGAACGCTGCGTCGCCCTGCGGGAAACAGGAAGTACTTTACTCTCCACAGGAAACAGGAAACACTTTACAGAGACATCCACAGGAGACATGAAACACTTTACTTCCACAGGAAACAGGAAACACTTTACAGTCCACAGGAAACAGGAATCACTTTACCAAAGAGCATGGATACCAAAGGGTGAAGCTCTGTTGAATTTTTGCCAACAGCCACTAGGGGTGCTGCCGCCATTTTGGACTGTTGAGTTTGGACTGTTGTGCCCAGACAACATGGAAGATGTCAAGGAGAGAGGAGAAAAAAAAGTAAAAGAAAACAGTGTGGTGCAATTAACTGCAACAACTATCAGTTGAACACCCCGCACCTGGTTTCCCGAAGGATCCCGACAGGTAAGAACTCCTGAGGTGTAAGTTTTAAAGTGTTTTAATATCAATTTATTATGCCAGTTTTGTTTTGTTCTACATATATATATATATATATATATATA